ATATGTTTTTTGATGCTTACTAACTTTTAAGTAGTCCTTGATGTAACCATTCTGAAAGCATTAATAACTTTCTCTAAAGCAGCATTCAAACCCAAGCTTTGGATGCAGCTGCTGCTCACATCTGCTTACTCCTGAGGTGCTGGGCCTGCCCTTGTGCTGCTGTGTATTGTGTGGGTGTCTTAGATATTGTCAGTGGGCAGAAAATACTCCACTGCTGCTCCTGGACATGCTGAAGCCTCTCCAGCAGCCTGTATTGCAAACAATACACCTCAGTTTAAAAGTGCTCCCAGAGAAAAACCTTCGCGTGATGTTTCTGTGGCTGCAGCTGAATATTCAGTTTATCCTGGATTCTTACAAGAAATAAATCCGTGTGTGTACTGCTCCAGAGTATTGCAGTTCACCCTCAGAGTGCTGTGTGTCTCATGCAGAAGCCTGTCCTGTAATTGTGTTTGGTAGGAACCTGTGTGAATTCCTTCAGGTGCTTGTCATGAGACAGTGTCCATGTGTGTCAGCAGCCGCCGCCTTGCACGAGGCCTCAGGGTGCTGTAGGATAAGGAAGAGGCAGTTTTCTTCCTCATTGCATTGCTTGTACTTTGTTTGCCATGCCATGACCACACCTGGATAAAAGCTGGCAGTTCTTAGAGCAGCTGGCCCGAAGCCCAAGCCGTGGTGGCCAAACGCTGCAGCCCAGGAGCCTCTGCTGAAGCTCCAGGCTGTGACAGGTGGCTGTTGACCCTGAGGCAGCTGTGGAGGTGCAGGATAGGGCTGCTCTGTGCTCAAGGCATTCTGCAGCTTTGACAGATTTTTAATACTCTTAGTAGGTTGTTAGGATTCCATCCTGGTTATTTTCTCTAATTGAAATTCCCCTGTAGTAGTGACTCAGGCTTCAGCCAGATTCACATTCTGTAGCTGCCTGGCCGGGATGGCAGCAGGAGAACTTTGGGGTTTTTTAAATCTCTCAGTTGTCTCACCCACTCCAGTGACATTATGCTGTGCTGTAGAGAAGGACACTGGGGAGGTGCTGAGACAGCTTGGGCTGCCTTGTGTTTCCTGCTTCAGCTGAGCCTGTTCCCTGCCTGCTGCTCCAACAGACACTGCCTGGGAACTCTGACATTCCAGAGAGGGGAAGACTGATTTCCCACTGTTAAACTTTCTGTTGCTGTTTAACTTGCGTGGTGCTTCCTTAACTTTATTTTTTTTTTTTTTTAAAGTCATGGCATGATCAGGGATCAGGCTTCTCTTGGCTGAAGGGATTAATCGTGGGGGAAGGCTGGGTAGCAATAGGGATTGTAGAAGAAGGTGTATTTCTTTTTACTCTTGCTTTACTCTTGCAGTCTTACCCATTGAAGACTACTGGCAGTTATTCTAAAAACTATTCATACATGCAAATGCTGAAGGGGAAAAAAATGGCAAGCAGGAATCCTCTTGAATGCTAAGAAATAGTTATATGAGAGTTTGAGAGGATTATAATTTCCAGTGGCCTCTTTTGAACAGCCAGTCTGGCAATTACTTTATTTATAAAGCTATAAACATATTTTGAACATAAAAGCCAAAAAATACAAACTCAGTGAAGTAAAAAAATTACAACAAATGATGGATAGTCATTGGACAAATGAAAGTACAGCTGCAAAACATTTATCCCTGCTACATACATACAGTGATTTTACTTGGTTTAAAGAAGTGGTACTTCCATGACTTCTACATTCAAACTGATTTCAGGAATTTAAATGTGTATTTCAGGAAGAGTTAAAATTGCTGTAAAATAACTAAAAAATTCTTGTTGAGATAAAAACGTAAGGGCAAAGTTTTCCTTCTATTAAAAAAGAATATTAACACAAAATAGCAACACTTCATATAGCAGTTCTAAAGACACTTTTTTTGGTATTAATAAGAGTAACTTTGTTTTGGCATCAGTTATCAGCTGTGGGGCATGGAACAGAAGTCAGTTGTGCTGTTTTGTCTTGGAAAGGGGCAGCTTAGAAGATATCTCTTCTGTGTTTTGGGATAAAAATAAGTCAATTTTCTGTTACCCCAGTATGAACTGATTACAGCATATCACAAGGGAGTGTTCTGAGTTTATCCTGTGGGTCAGTCTGGCTATAACCTGTATGTACAGAGCAGAGCACGGGCAGGACGAGGCCGTGGCTGAGATGGGTGTAAGTGCTCCAGCTCTGGGGCTCTGGAAATGCTTCTGTGCCACCAGGGCACAAGGAGGGGCTCCTGGAGAGGGGAGTGGTACTTCCACTAAGGAGATTTGGCAGCAGTGGGGTGGAGTAACAATGAGAGGAGGCTGTAATGCAGACGGGCCTCTGGCTGGTCGGGGCAGGGACCACAACACCGAGGAGGGGCCAGAGGAGCCTTGAAATAATGGGAGAAAGTCCCAGAGTGTGAAATGAGTGAGGGCTGCTCTGGGTGCTCGCGCTGCCTCCTCCTCGGCCAGGTTAATACTGATCAGGGCCTTCCCCTCAGCTCCCTCTGCTCTTACTCACACCCATCTGCTTTTTCCTTTACACCTGCCTTTGCTTTGCTGCTAAGTTCCATCTTCCACCCCACCACCGAGTACCAGTGGGGTGTTGAGTTACACCAGCTTTACACCCGCTGTGGGGCTGGTCTGTTGTCTGTGGTGTTCCCTTGTACAGCACCTTACAGCAGAGGGGCTCACAGCAACCAGATGCTGAACTGAGACATGGCCATTTTTTTTAAAAAGCACTTTGTCTTGTTTCTTTTTTAAATCAAGTGATTGGAGAGACCATGTCAGATCTGGCAAAAGTCTGCTGAGTTCCTCTGTTCAGCACTGGAACATGCTGTTGGCTAAGCTTGCTAAAATAATTTAAAATGAGCAGATTGCATATTGATCTAGTGCTATGTAATTAACCCTGTGAGTGCAGTCAGTACAGGTGGCATTGGGTCAGGTAATGCTACTTCTCTGAGGGTTAAAATGGTTCAAACTTTAAAATGACTCTTTGCAAACTCATCAGGTTTGTGCACGTAGCTTTCAGTCAGTGCTTCTGAAGTTACATTTACACAGGAGAGGAATAAAGCAATAGGATTAGATCTTCTAAACTAAAACCAGAAAAAAAAAAATCTACACTGCTGTAAGCAAAACTACCTAAATAAAGGGAATAAACCCAAAGCTGCTCTACAAACTAATCAGGTTTGGCTTTTTTTTTTTTTTTTTTAAATTTTAAATCTTTGAGGCGTAAACTTGTTTAAAAAGTTATGTTTAGTCCAATGTAAAAAATTAGGGTTTGTGTTTTTGCGTTAAGAAAAAAAATATAAAAATATTTTGTACATTATAAAGGTCATCTTAAATTTCTCGCAGTTCTACAATAATATTACTACATAATTTGTATTCAGTACTCCAGAACCTATCTATCAAATAGGAAAAAAATAGACCCCCCTCTTCCTTTGTGTGGTGTCATTTTTCTCTTCAGCAGTCTGGAATATATTTCTTTCAAGCAGGAAAAAAAATTGCACTGGACTAGATTGTGACCTCTGTGAGAAGTCTGTAAACCTGAAGTAAATCCAGAACTTGGAATTATTTGGGATTTACACCAGTTCGGGGAGATCATAATCCGTCCACAGTGTTTTTTGTTTATCAAACTCAAAATATAAATACAACACCAGAAACCGGCAAACGTTTTCAAGCTGGAGAGAACACATCAACATTTGGCGTCGTCATGGGGGCGGGGGGAGAATCTTTCAGAAAAAGCTAGAATAAGGTTTTTTAAAAAGTTACACACTGAATCATGAAAAGCAGGGTTCTGATCTCACCGAGGGTACGGACAGACTTGGCCTGCAGCCAAGGGCAGGGCAGTGCTGCTCTCCCGGGGCTGGCAGAGCTGTGCTGGGGCAGAGCTCACCCTCTCCCCAGAGCCTCTGCTCACCAGGAGGGGCCGCCTGGGCCAGTGGGATCCTCAGGGCCTTGCCCACGGCCCACCCTGCCAGGGCCGCCCCTGTGGAGGGGCACAGTCAGCCAGGGCCTGCAGCATCAACACAGGGATTTCTGAGGCTTTGCCCAGCCTGTCTGGTGGGATTTCTGACCGTCCTCATCTGCAGAAGACAATCTAACAGCCAGGGAGACCCTGCCCCTGACCAGTGCCCCCAGTGACCATCAGCCCTTCCCGGGGTCAGTCCATGCTCCTTCTGCTGGTGCTGCACCACCGTGGAATGGGACACGTCTGTGTTGCCTGTAAACAATATCTTCCTGTTCTCAAACAAGAAGTGTAAAAAATTCCCCTGGCTGGTTGAAGTATTTCATTTCTCTATGAACCCGGTCAGATCAGAGCGCTGGCACCGCTACAGTTACTTTTCAGACAGAAGGGCTTTTAAAAAACGCTCCTATTCCAGCTTTTCCAGCTCCCTGGTGGAATGGCTGGGAGAGATCCGTGAGTGACTACACTTTGAAGCAGCTCAGAGGACAGGGGGTGGAAGCCAGGGTTAGACGGACAGCACCTACCACCTACAGCAGCAAGCTGGGGACTGGGCTCTGCTCTCCGCCACGCTGCCAGATAATGCAGTAAAAAACCAAACCAAAACCCCAAACAAAACAAAACAAAAAAAGCAGCACAGGGCAGGGACAAAAGGCTTGTTTACTCATCAGCACTTTAAATTTTGGCAAGTACTTATTTTTGAATTTTTTTTTTTTTTTTTGAAATCGCTTTTCTACCTTTATCACCCGTCCCCTCCAAAAACAACCAACCCCAACCAGAGGAGTTTTTCCATCATCCTCAGGGTCATCCCGTTGCGTGTTTGACGGTGAGCTGGGGGTTCGGCCGGGCCCCTGGTCCTTGTCCGGAGGAGCCGGGCGGGCCGGCAGGAGACTATGTCCCCGCGGGGCCGCGGCTGTGGCGGCGGGGGACGCGGGCCGCGGAGGCGCCGGGAAGCCGGGGTCTGAGGGGCCGGAGCCGGGTCTGGAGGGGCGGAGGCCGGGTCCTGGAGGGGCCGGGAGGCGGGCGGGAGCTGCGCGGGCACCGGGGGGGGTCGGCGTCCCGCGGTGCGCGGGTTTGGCGGGGGCTAGCGAGCTGCTCTGACGGGAAGGCGGAGGGGAGGCATCGGAGTGCGTCCGGAGGGGATGGAGGCGAGTCTATAGCACTTCCATCGGAAGAAACTGGGCTGGCACAGCGTCCTTCTCCTTGTAGGTACCGAATGCACTTCTTTTTCCTCCTGGAACAGCGGGGAGAGAGGGCTCGGTCAGCGACGGGGGGGTCACCGGCAGCCCCGGTGCTGCAGCGCTGCGGGGACACCGCCAGGAGGCGCCGGGAAAGGATCCAAGGGAAAGGGTTCATAGGGAAAGGGTTCATAGGGAGAGAATTCGAAGGGAAAGGGCTCCAAGGGAAAGGGTTCACAGGGAAAGGGTTCGAAGGGAGAGGGTTCAAAGGAAAACGGTTTGTAGGGAGAGGGTTCCAAGGGAAAGGGTTCCAAGGGAAAGGGGTTTGAAGGGAAAAGCGTTCCAAGGGACAGGGTTCGAAGGAAAAGGGTTCCAAAGGAAAAGGGTTTTAAGGGAAAGGGTTTGAAGGGAAAGGGTTCCAAGGGAAAAGGGTTCAAAGGAAAAGGGTTCCAAGGGAAAAGAGTTCGAAGGAAATAGGGTTTGAAGGGAAAAGGGTTCCAAGGGAAAGGGGTTTGCCAGTAACGTGGGGAGAGGAGGACGTCATGAAACCAAAATCAAAAAACAGTAATAAAAATGAAAATAGAAAAAAGAGAAATAATAAACCCCAAAATAATAATAAAAATAAAACCCGCAAAATGAAAATAATAATAAAAAACGGAACAATATAAAATAATAAAATAAGAATATAAATAATAATACTAAACACGATAAAAATAATAAAGCCCCAAACAAGAATTAAAAGCAGCCCGGGAGGTCACTCCTCACCAGCCACCACCCCGGCTCCTCAAATTCCGGGAGGCTGTGGGGTGACCACCTCATGAGTTCAGGACCAAAGCACTGCCCCCCCGGGGTCACCCCTCCCCACAGAGCCCACCAGGGCCCACGGGACACACGTGTGCTGGTGCCAGGGGTCAGTCACACCCCTGTGCTCAGCAGTGCTGGGTGGGACACTGCCCTTCACACCAGCCCTGGCTTTTCTCGTCCCAAAATCTGAAGGTTCCAAGAGCCCATTTCCCAGCACTTTCCTAGACTTGTGCACAGTATCATCTACTGGTTTGGGTTGGAAGGGACCATAAAGCTCATCCTGTTTCAACCCCGTGCCATGGGCAGGGGCACTCCACTAGACCAGGTTGCTCCAAGCCTTGTCCAACCCGGTCTGAGCTCTCAGCTTTTCCTTTGGCAGCAGGAGCCCCTGCTCTCAGCTATTTGTGCATCTCTAAGTATTTCCCAGACACTCCCACCTCCAAGAACAACTCAGTGATGCAGCTGAGTGGAAAGTGCTCAACAGAGATCCAGGAGGAGGGAAGGAAATGGCCTGGGACTGGCTGGAGGTGGTCAGAGGCTGTCTGAGGTGTTGCTTTGGATGCTGGAGCAGTCCAGGTACAAAATGACAGATTTGGCAGCAGGACCTGAGTGGCCCTGCAATGGTGCCAGACTCAGTTCCACGCTCCCACTCTGTGGAGTGTGACACACAGAGCTCAGCAGCTGGGGAAGGATTCGCTGACCAAAAGGGTTTTTCCAGGAAGTACCCCATGGCAGCTCTCCTCCCCCAGCCCTGCTCTTCTGGCAAGAAGCCCACTGGGACTGGGAAGGTCCTGAAGACAGCAGCACCTCAGAGCAAGGACCAGCCTCCCCTCATCCCTCCTGGAGAAGATGCTCAGGTTTCCCATTTGTTTGGATGTCACGATTTGGGGGTCTCAAAAATCCAAGTCACAAATCATTCTTGCTGTAGCTGGTTTAGGACATGATTCCTCCACATCCCTGGACAGTTCTGTTCAGTGTTTACCCTGAACTCCAGGTGTCATCTCATGCACCTGATTGTTTTAACTACCCCTGGCTGTCCAGAGTCAGTCCCTCACACTGTTTTGTCTTTTACACACTCTGTTGAGCTGGTTTTCCTTCTCTCCATGTGACAGATCCCTCATGTCACTTGCTGTGGGTCCTTGAGCACCTCTGCAGAGATCCTCAAACAAAAGAGCCCTCAAGATGTCACCTTAACAGTAGCGAGGGGACAATTCCTCTGCTGGAGATGGCATTAATGACTTTACAGCTAAAACAGGTAGAAGAACATCTTCCTCCCACCCAGCTCCCTGCCTGGGCTGTCTCATTTGAGGAAAACAGATCAAATGAGAACTTGCTAATGCGGGCACACACCTTTCTTTGATCTCCCTAATGAAAAACCAGACAGTGTGAGAATGTGTATGAACTAGTCCAGTATTAAACATGACTTTCACTGGATGTGAACAGGAGCAGTGCTGTTACTGCTGTCAGTGCCATCGTTAGCCGTGGTGACCCAATTAATGCGATAGAAACACAACGGCCTGGCTTTAACTCGCAGGGTATTTTCCACGGGTGGTAATTCCCCAGGGCAGACAGGCCTGAGGAGGAGCTGTGTTCCCCACAGACACCTCAGGAGTAGCTGCAGGATGGAGTTTCAACGACCTGTTTGAGATGACACGAATCTGTCCATCAATTCATTGATCTGATTTACAGCAATGGGGAGAAAAGAGCAGGTGTGATACTACAGACTGCTGGTAATGGACCAGTCCGTGGGTTATGCTGAGGTGGATGGTTTATCTAACCCCTTTAGCTAAAGGGGTTTATCTCCCTCCTTTTAGCAACTTATCCCTCTCCCTGTAGGAACTACAGCACTCTGGAGTGTTTGTCCACGGTGTGAGAGAGAGGGTGAAAGCTCTAAAGCAGCAACACCCTGTCTTAACCAGGTAACCTCTCCTGTGGATGGAAACCCTCCCGGGGAAGTTGTTCTCTGCAGGTGAGCAGAGCAGGCAGGACAGGAGCCCTGGAGTGTTAGTGCAGGAATTGCAGAGCAGCTCTGGCTGACCAGGGTTTGGTTACACAGGGGACACAGTAAGAGCATGCCAAGGTCTCTGAGCACTCCAGCAGCCTGTGTTAATTGGGAAGCCGTGCAGAGGAGAAGCTGAATTCAGAGTTGCAGTGGAGGCAGAGCAAAGGTGGAGGAACTGCCCACAGAGGCACAGGGTGCTCAGCCTGGCTGCAGGAGGGATGGGGGCCTCCAACAGCTCCCTCTGGACATTCAGGTATTAATGAGACACTAAGGGAGCTCTGTCCAGATTCTCAATCAGTTAAAAAATGGTGCGTGATGACACTATCTGGGGTGTAAAAGATGAGCAGGGAGCTCTGCTGTTGTGGCACCCCGAGGTGCAAGAGGGGAGCTCAGCTGGGGCTCAGCCACAGGGACCAGAGCTCGGGGTGCAGCAAAGTCTGGGCCAGATTTGGGTGCACTGAATGATTTCAGTCACTTCAAGCTTCATTAAGCACATCAAGCAATACTTTACTTCCAGCTTTTCCTACAGTTCTCAATGCATTGGTATAAAAATGTGCTGTGAATCACAGACCTCTGTCCAGGCTGGAGCCTCCCTGTGCTCCAGTGCCCAGGTCCAGAAGCCCCCATGGAGCTTTTTCTGCCTGGCTGCCTTTGCAGCCCCCCTGAGCCAGGCAGCACTTGGTCGATGCACTGAACTTTCCTATCTCCTGGCCATGTCCATTCCCTGGAAGCCTGAGGGTCAGGGCACTGCACTGTTTTGCTGCTCGAGGCTGTCCACCCCACCCATGGTGGGTACTGCGAAATTTAAGGGTCAGGAAGAGCTGGATCCTGAAATACATGGTTGGCCCAGTATAAATGGGAAAAAGAAACCCACTAACTCCTCACTGCTGGCCCTAGGGTGCTGATTATGTGATTGGAAATAACTAACGGGGGGGGAAAAAGCCCCACATCAGGGTCACAGAGGTCTCCACCCTGGAAATAAGCTTTTAAGACCAGGGAATTCCATCAGCTGAGGAATATGTACAGCACTACACCAACACTGCCCCGGGGGTGTGAGAAACCCAGCGTGCAGCCTGACCCCTGCAGCTCAGGCAGCAGCTCCGGAGGATGCCCAGGGTACACCCAGGAACACCCAGGAACACCCGGGGAACACCCAGGAACACCCATCCCCGCCCGGCTGGAGCTGCCCCCGCCGGCACCGGGAGGACCCTGGAGCTGCCCCCACTGTCCCAGGAGCACCCCAGCAGCGAGGAGATGCCGATACACACCTGCACGGGCCGCACCAGTCCGTTTGTTGGTTGAGGCCAAAGCGAGCTCTGCATTTCTTAGGAGAGGCAGGATCTGAACACAGAAGCATGCGCGGCGAGAATGGGCAAGGCAGAGGCACAAAGAGGAGGAGGAGCAGGAGGAAGAAAAGAGGCAACATCATTTTAGCCACTTGAACACACGACTAACAGACTACAATCCCATTTTTTTTTCCTGCTGGCACCACCTCTCCTGGAAAAAAGTGATCGTTAGGTAAATATCGGTGATCACTGCTGGCAGCTGGAGGAGGAGGTTTGGGAAACAGCTCCGGGAAACGTGGGCAATTACGGGGAAATCCACGGACCTTCGAATTTCTTAAGTTTGGAGATGCTGCCAAATTTCAGAGGCACTACCCGGCTCCTGTGTCTGCATCCTTACCTGCTCCCTGCCTTCCCAGCAGTGACTGCCAGGGCTGCCAGCGAGCTCGGACTGCGCACGGAAGAAAGAGGAGGAAACGTTGCAGAAGCAGCTGAAAGCAGAGTTAGCACCGAGGAGACCTAGGCCAGGTTATTCCCCTCTGTCCCCCCCATCATTCCCCTTCCAGTTTCAATGGAAAAGCTCTTCTCCATGGCCTTTCTAAAATGTTGCAGTTTTACTGTTTAATTAGGGGACTCATTAGGGTGAAGCCCTATTTGCTTTCAGGTACATCCTGTTTTTCTCTAGTGCTGTGAATGGGATTTGAACAGCATATTTCTGTGCTGGATTCAGCCTCCCTCTCTCAGGCTGTTGTGTGTGACTAGCAGTTGGTTTCAATCCATTATCATTTTTGTATCACACAGATAGGACATATATAGGGATATATAAATATATATACACACTACATATAAGCCTGAAAACTTGTATTCCCTTTATCAGTCTAGACACTGAGTAAGATCAGTAGTGTTAATTAAAGTGAAGATATAACTGTGACACAGTCATGGAACTGCTTTTTATGGACAATTTGAAGATGTCATCTAGTGGTGATTCATTAAATTAATAAATTTGCTTAGACAGCCAATAGCTTATCATATGGATGGCACAGTTTCATCCAGAAGTAAGAGCAATGAGCAGTAATGGACTGGTGAGCTGGAGAGTGGGAAAAGCTCTTTGTGACTCTATAGGTAATCCCAGAATGGAAACACTGGGAAAAACAGTCTAACTTCATGTGTAAGTGCTGCCACAGTGGGGCAAGGACAGTCTCTTGATGGTTTATAACGAATATTTATTGGTACAGATATTATTTGTTCCTGATATGGCAGAAATACTTCAGAAATCAGCCCAGGAATAGCTTTGGATGATGGGGATATGTCTGAAATCTGTCAAAGGGGCCTTTCCTCATCAGCACTGGGGTTCAGGGAGACAGCTGGTACTGGGTTTTAGTATGACTTTGCTTCAACCTTGGTTACTTTGAAAAGAAAACCAAACTTGGGGTAGCCCCATGGGTGATCTTCAATCCTGTCACTGCATTTCATCCCACCCCCACTCCTGATGCATTTGAGAGCTTTCTTTAATTGATGACACTGATGGGGACATGCACCCTGGATGTTTTCAATAGATTAAGTTTAGTGATAGTTTATATGAAGTTACACACTCACCAAAATCTAATCTTTTCCATTTTCACACACTCCCCATCTTCTAATTCAAACACGTTCACGAAAAAGTCACAGAAATGTTAATTTGCCATTTCTTAAAAAATATAATAAATGTGTGTTTCTCTGGTTAAACTCAGGAGAATAAAGGAAAACATGGTAAAACACAACAACTGCTTTGGATTATCCCCTCTGAGGGGGAATGCAGGGACAGCCACCCCACACACGCGAGTTTACCTGAGTTGGAATCTTGCTGCTTTTCCCGTGTTCGTCTCTTCTTTTTCCCCTGGGAAATCAAAGGAAAGGCTGTTATCCGTGCTCCAGGAGAAGGAGGGTGCTGTGCAGGGTGTTTGGGGCTGGATTGGTGCTGCTGGCTCAGCCCATTCCAGGGAGAGATGAACTAGGAAAGGCTGCAAAGGAACTGCTCCAGTTTATCTATCAACAGTTGATGCTCCTGCTGTGTTCTTGTTCCTTTTCCTTCTTTATGTTTCTAAAAAACCCTCAGCCCATTTTAGCACCTTCCCTGTTTCCAAAACATGCTTTACTGTGGTGCCTTATACCCAAACAGAAATTGCTCCTTAACGTTCCCTGATTTCAAACGGGAAAGAACGTTTAAGGAAATCCCCAGAAATTTATTTTCAAATCACACTGACCTATTTCAGTGCTTTTGCAGCTCTGGACCCATCTTTCGTTCTTCTTTCACTAACAAGAAAGCCCTGTTTTATCCCCAAACTGCCTCTCTTGATTCACAAGACGCAGCAACTCCCCTCCTGCCCTAATGAGCTGATTAATGAGGGCACAGCAGTGCAGGAGCAAATCTGTCTGTGAGGAGCAGCAGCTCACAGGGCTGCCTTTGACCTGTGACTTTTTATATGACTTCTTGTGGTTTGAGTGAAGGTGGAAAGCTCTGAGCTGTGGTGAGCTTTTTCTTCAGTGGGGGAGCAACCGTATTTCCTGCCCAATATCCGCATCACGTGCTGCAGAAGTGACCTACATTCCTCCTCCTCCTTCTCCTCCTCCTCCTCCCTGCTCAAGCTCCGCAGAGAAAAGCATCTCTTCAACAACCACAACACCCAAACCAGCTGGTCTGCAATGCTGGGAGGACCAATATCCATCTTCTGGAGCAAGGAACCAGCCCGTGATTCCCCAAGGAACCAGATGAATGATGATACAGGTTGAGATTTCCACGGAGGGTGTGCTTGGTCTTGGTGCCATGCCCTCCAGGTGTTAATGTCCTCCAGATGTGTGCCCACCAAAATGTGGGCTGGGGGTTTCCCCTCACCTCTGCTTTTTCTGCATCAGCTCTGCCCTCTGTTTTTAGGGGGTTTGGGGGTGGTTTGGGCTCTTTAAAGGTGTTTTCCTGCCTTTGGTGGAGTTTGGGCTTTCTGGAAGGAGGGCTGTGGTCAGTGTGGGATGGATGGGAGCTCACTGGGCAGCTCCCAGGGGAAAGAAACTGTCTGTGAGGGAAATGATGGAGCCTTAGATCAAAGGGACAGAGTCCTTGAGTGGATGGACAGACCTCTGAAGACTTATGTATGCTTCTCTTCAGGTCTCTAACGAGCTCATTAGGCACAACAGTCAAGAAAGTCACAAGGAAAAGCCCTTTTCAAAAATATCCACTATTTTAAACCACAGAATACTAAAATGGTTTGGGTTGGAGGGGACCTTAAATATATCCTACAATCCTGTTTCAAACCCCTGCCATGGGCAAGGACACCCTCCACTAGCCCAGGTTGCTCCAAACCGTGTCCAACCTGGCCTTGAACACTTTCAGAGATGAGGCAACCACAGCTTCTCTGGGCAACCTCCCTCCCTTACCATCCTTACAGATACCTCAGCTGCTGCCCAAGATGTTTTATGTTTCCATAAAACTGTATTTCCAAGGACCATCCCCATCACTTCAAAGCTCCTCTTCCTTACTCCTTGTATTTGCTTGGACAATAAGCAGACAAACCCCTGTGGTAGCTGGGGCTGTACCATTCATCCTATAGACAGGCAATAAACCAGGAGGGTGCTCCAAATACTCCTCAAATGTGAATTCCCACAGCGCTGGTGCCACCAGGAACCTGCCTGTGCCCGGCGGGCTGTTTGGCAAACACCAGCTGTCACCCCCGGGGTCATTTGGGGCCATGCCAAGGGAAGGGGGCCCGAGCAGGGCGGGCACTCACGTAGTTGTCTCTGGCAGACCAGCCAGGGTAGAGCTGCATGTGGAGCTGCCGTTCCTTGCGAGCCAGTTCGTAGTACTTGGCCTGTTCCTCCCGGGACAGCGCGTGCCACTGCAGGGACACACACAGAGCAGTGAGACACGGCCCCGCTGCCCCCTCCCAGCCCACCCACCACGGCCATCCCGCCCCGGGGCACACCCGACCCTGCGTGTTTAAGGGATAAGAGCACCCAGCCTTGAAGCAGATGCTTGTTATGTGCTGAAGAGCAGCTGCAAGGGATGGGGATGTGGCATTGGGGGGGTGGTGCTGGGCCCCACGAGCTCTCACCCTCCTTCCCAGGATCTGGTTGATGGCAGCGCTCTCCTTCAGGGTGCACTCGGCGATGACTTTCGCCCGCATTTCTTTCATATACAACATGAAAGCGTTCAGGGGCTTCTTGATAGTGGGCTTCTTGGCTTCCTTCTCTCTCTTTGGTTCTGGTTGAGGTTTCCTTGGTGGGACCAAAGGAGGAGCTGTCAGCATCAGAGCCATCCCCCAGCCTGGCTCAGCAGAAAACTCCCCCCCAAACCAACCTGACGGCGGGGGGCCAGAGCTCTGCACCTCAGGTGCAGACAGAGCTCGGTGTTCACCCACCCTGCCCCCAAAGGGGCATTAAGAGGGATAAATGCAATGGGTGCCAAGGTGCCGTTTCACGAGCCCTGCCTGCACTGCCAACTCACATGTTTCGGTCATAGTGCTCCATGTCCTGCTTGCCGGAGTGGGGCACGATGGCGGGGTGCGGGATGCCGGTGGTGTGCATGCCAGAGCCCAGCATCAGCGGGTGGGTGAACCTGCAACAGAGAGCGGGTGAGCCGTGCCGGGAGGGCTGTGCCGTGCCAGCGCTGTCTCACGGATGGCACTCGGACGTGGCGGAAGCGGACGGAAAGCAGAGGACACGGAAAGCACGTGGGTGCTGCCAGGCTGGCGGGGGGTGGGCAGTGCCCACCACCCCGGGTCACCCCCGTGGGCACACGGCTGGAAAGGATCCGGTGCCACGGCGAGGGAACCGCCCGCAGCGGGAGCCGGCCTGGCCGAGGTCCAGGGCACTTCCAACTTCAGCTTCAGCTACTCAGATCTCTGTTGCTGCAATATCTTATTAGCACTGCACAAAGAAACAACAAGCTCAACCGGGGCTTTGGATGGGAGAGATGAGGACCACCCCACACCTTCCTTTAAACAGAAACAGCCTAAGTCTGAACACGAACCCGACTGCAACTCTAGGAGGTGCACCTTGCCTGAGCAATGCTCTCCACAACACAGGCTGAGATCATGAGAGGTCTTGCTCGCTCTCAGGCTTCATTAGCTCTCTCCGGAGTTTTGGAGGGTAAAGCCAGCACAGTCAGCTTTGCCAAGCTTGCCACTTTATGACTGCAGCTTGAGATGGCAGAATTGCCCATGGGAGATGAACTGTTCATTAGATATGCTGGCACGAAAAGAAAAGCTGTTTAATTTAATCCACCAGCACAGTCTGATCCTTATCTGACCAGGTGTACTTTCTCGGCTGCAGCACTGCTGCAAAATCCACCCCAAAATCCTGCAAGCAGGAGCTCGGGGAGGCTGCTGGGGCTCCGGGGGGAAACCGTTAGCTCCTCTTGCCTTCGCCTTCGAGGCTGTGCAAGGCTGATGCCTCGTGAGCAAGGAGGGTTGGCAGCACTCCCTCCCCTCTTCTACAGGACTAGGGGCTCCATGGATGGGGGATGAATGGCATGGATTGAGGGTTGCATGGTTCCAGGTTTCTGCATGGCTAAGGGCTCTCATGAGTGAGGGTTTGCCTGGTTTTCCTGCGGGAAATCTCCACTAAAAGCTCTTCAGGACAACATGAAGCAGAAGCAAAAGCTGGTACATGAGCCCAGACACCCCTATGGAGCCACAGGGGTTTTGCCCAGCAGCACACCTGGAAGGGCTGGGCTCTGTCATGCCCATCCACAGGGGATGTACTGTGCTCACCTGAAGGCAGAAGCTGTGCTTTTGTCTCACAGAACTGACTTGTGCCCGATGGGAGGGCAGCAAATCCCTGCCCATGGCCTGTCCTGCTTTTAAAGCAGAGACCAGGAAAACAGAGGGGCCTCTGCAGAGGAAAGCTCAGTGGTGGTGGCAGCAGGGAATTAGGGTCAGTGGCACGGAACAAAATCCTGAGCAATGGATTCCAGCCCTTTTTCCCAATGCTGAGGGCTGGGGTTTCTGGCTCTGTTTAGACTTCTGCTCTGTTAAAACCCAACTGCTCTGCATCCTTCATCCTCGATGTTCCCCCGAGCACCCTCTGGACCAGACACTGCCTCAAAGCGCCTTCTCTCCCCACGGCTGCCCCGGGGTGGGTGCCTGGCTGTCCCTGGGGGCCGTGGTCTGCTGCAAGCTCCTGCTGCACACACTGCAAGCTGCGAGAGCAGCCGAGCTGCTGCCCTGTGTCACACAGCTCATACTCACCTGGAGAAAGAAGCCCCGGCAGAAAGCGCGGACGAGTACGGCTGTCTAAATCCACATGACGGGAGCGGATAGACAGACTGGCTCTGCCTGGGATCAGGAAGAAAGAGGCTATAAAGTATCCACAGCTACGTGGTGTTTCCTAAAGATATCCTTTGCTAAGGGGACTCGGAGCACCGATGCCCCTGGCTGGCAGGACGCTCAGGCTGTCCCTTGGATTCAAGGGGCCCTGCAGGACTCGGACATTATTTTGAGAGAACCTGGGCCTTCCCACAAAGGTTGGATTCGATTCTGACCCCCCTTCCAACCCTGGCGCTGAGCAGCTCTGCAGCTTTGAGTTTATCTGGTTAAAATGCAAAATGCAGAGGTGTGTGCTGAAAAATCAGCTGCTGTTGCACAGAAGAAGTTGCTAAAAAGAGCACAGCTTGACCAAAAACCTAAAGCCTGGTCAGAGTCTCTGTGCAGTGCACTAGAGGCTGCAACAGGAGGATGAACATGAGGAAGAACTTCTTTACTGTGTGGGTGACTGAGCACTGGAACAGATTGCCCAGAGAGGGTGTGGAGTCTCCCTCACTGGGGATATTCCAGGACCATCTGGATGCAATCCTTTGCCATGTGCTCTGGGATTGCCCTGCTTGAGCAGAGAGGTTGGATCAGATGACCCTCTGTGGTCCCTTCCAGCTTTACCCATTCTGTGATTCTGTGATCATGGAACTTCCTGGTGTCTGGAGAAAAAGTACCTACTCTCTTGTATTCAGGGATACTCTGATTTCCCCAGCATATAATTTCAAGGATGCCCATCAGTTTTAAACAGCCAAAAGCTCATTCCTTTTCAAAGTGCTTTCATACTGGGGACTGGGCATGTACCAGACCTGGAGCTGGAAATTATTTCTGAGATAGTAAAATAACTATGCAGGAAGTTCCTTGTTGTTCCCAGCAAGGGAACCCCCACATTTTCATATGGAAATAGCTCAAAAATACCTTGGCTTGTTCTGCAAACCCACCAAAAGATGCTTCCAGCCTAAAACTGCACGTGGAAACTGAGATTATAGAATCACAGAGTGGTTTGGGTTGGAAGGGACCTCAAAGCCCATCTTGTTCCACCCCCTGCCATGAGCAGGGATACCTTCCACTAGTCCAGGTTGCTCCAAGCCCTGTCCAACCTGGGGCACGATGGGGTGCTTACACCTGCACTGGTGCTTGTGCTCCTCTGGCTGGGCTGCACAGAGCTGTGCCTAAAACCAGCACCAGCTATTTTCAGCTCTAATAACTAAAAACCCCACCAAAAGTCCACTATCATCAAGTGTGGTGCCCTGCAAAGGGCCGAGCTCTGGGGTGCCTGGGATGTTTCAGGGCCAAAGACAAGTTTGTGCCCTGCAGAGGAACAATGACAGTGGGGCAGCAGTCATGCCCCTGAGCCACGCTGGGCAGGAAGGAGCTGCCCAGGGAGCTCAGGGAGCTGCTGTGCCTCGGCTTGACCGAAATCTGCAGGATCTGTGTGCAGGGAAGGAGCCGGGGCTGTTTACACCCTGCCAGGCAGGAGCCCTCTCCCACCCCTTAGATGTCGGCGGGTATAAACACACCAACAAACAGCCAAGTGCCGCCGCACCGGGAAACCCAAACAGCCTTTGAAGTTGGAGGCGGCTGCCCCAGGGCCGAGAAAACACTCGGAGCTAATCCAGAAGCGACCTGCGTTACTCCAGAGGCTGGGATACACCGGGATAGGAACGGAGTCGGGCACTCGCAGCTTCATCCGAAGTCCCTCTGACGTGCAAATGAGTGCAGCTGTGAAGTCAGCCCCTGATGGTTGGGAATGCACGACTGCAGCCCGTGACATGGAATTACAGACTGGCTTGGGTTGGAAGGGACCTTAAAGCTCATGCAGTTCCACCCCCTGCCATGGGCAGGGACACCTTCCACTATCCCAGGTTGCTCCAAGCCCTGTCCAACCTGGCCTTGGACACCTCCAAGGATGGCACATCCACAGCCTTTCTAGGCAACCTGTGCCAGGGCCTCACCACTCTCTGAGTAAAGAACCTCTTCCTAGTATCTAATCTAACTCTCTCCTCTTCTAGTTTAAAACTGTTCCCCCTTGTCCTATCGCTATCTGCCCATATAAAAAGTCCACCTCCTTTTTTATAAGCTCCCTTTGTGTACAGGAAGGGGCTGTGAGGTCTCCTCAGAGTCTTCTCTTGTCCTGGCTGAACAGCTCCAGCTCTCTCAGTATCTGCACACTATCACAGATGCTGGGAGGGCAGCTCAGACACAGCCATGGATGGCAGTGCCGGGGCTGCCAGGGCACCAACACACTCTGCCCAGGGCACAGGAGAGTCACACCATGTGCAGGTTCCTGGCCAAGGTGAACTGCCAGGCTCCATGAGCAAAACTCACTTGACTGGACTCTCAGAGGCTTTTATCCGACTGTCATCCCAGCTAATTACAGAGAGAGTGATTGCAGCTCCTCCTCCCGAAGCGCTCGGTGAGAACAAAACCCGTTTCTGCCCAGCTCCTGCCTGCCAGCTCGTGCAGGAAAAGTTGCTTCCTGTGTGTGGCCATCCTGGCTCAGCAGCTGACTTGGTGGCACTGGCACAGGCACAGAATCATGGAATGACTGGGCTGGAAGGGACCTTAAAGACCATCCAGTTTCAACTCCCCTGCCATGGGCAGGGACACCTCTCACTATCCCAGGTTGCTCCAAGCCCCATCCAACCTGGCCTTGAACTCTTCCAGGGATGGGGCAACCACAGCTTCTCTGGGATGCATCCTTGGCATGACCATCCCTGGCACACAGCCCCTGCTGCCATGAACCTGATGGGATTTGGTGCCGACACTGGTGTGCTGAGCCTCAGCTGAAAACTGGGCACTCCAGGAGTGGGTTTGAGGCTCTTTCCATAAAGTTTAGGCAAGGAAAAGAACGAGCAAAAGCTCTATTAGGCACACGTGCCTCGAGGTGCTGCTCTCTGCATGTCAGGCCGTTGGTTGCTTTACCATATCTGCTCTATTAGTCACTAATGAAGGCATCTGAGGATGCCAAACCCTGTGGATGCTGAAGAAGCTCTCAGCCATGCAAACTCCCTCTACCACCAACTACCCCACAAAATCTCCACAACAGCCACACTGCTCTAACTCCATTCACCCAGGGCTGCCTGAACAATACCATCCCATCCCAGGAGTGGACCTTCCTTTTGACAAACAGGCTCGTTTCTCTCCATCTCCCAACTATTTCTTTCATGTTACAGCACAGTCGCCCCAGTCCTTGTTTTCCCTGAGGATGAATCATATCATCTGAGGAGTTAAATCATCACCCAAGAGTAGCAGATTTAGCACAGAAGGTGAAATGTAATCTCTTTGAAGCTGAACTCTGTATCAAAGGCCTCAGCTCCTGTTTCCTTGTGGTTAAATATCTGGAACACGAAATTCATAAACAAAACAAAGCAAAAAGCTCCCCTCTCCCATTCTGCAATTGGTTCTTGTACCTGGAGCAATCTGTGGGGCTTTGCTGATAAAAATCCCTCAGCACTGGGAGGATCTGGCCACCTGCCCCCATCACCCTCCCTGCACTCTTTCCCTGCCCTGACCACCCTGAATTGCCACCTGCAGCCACCACCCTTTCTGTCAGCCTCTGCCACGCCTCCGTGTCCTCAATGGGGGTTAAAAATTAACCCGAGGAGTGACGATGCCCCCACGGCAGCCCTGGCCAGCCCCGCTCCCCCAGCCAGCCCCGCTCCCCCGGCGCGCTCGCGGTCACGGGGACACAGCCCGGGGACACGACCACAGAGCACACACTGGTGCATTTTTAACTTGTGTGCCTGGGGCAGGTTTCCCAACAGACTCTGCTTTGCAGGATGCTCCTCAGGGCTGGCCCATGCAGGAGGGACATTTTGGGAGCGCTCCAGCTCATGGTCCCTCCTTCCCCATCCCCACTGGGACAGCAGTTCCCACCGAGCCAGCAGTGCTGTGGCCAGGTTGTGGGTACTGGGGGTCGTTTGCTGGGCAGGTCTCTGCCACGGTGTACTTCTTCCTTGTGTGTCAGACCCTAAGAAACACCATGGCCTGGCAGATAGATCATCCCACAGGATTACACTGTGCTGGTGGCAGGCTAAGGAAAAGCACTATTTGTGCTGCAAACTCCATCATGGGAGAAAATTACCTCCCACTCAAGAGAGAGACTTTTGCTGGGATTAGGAGGAATAGGTAGGAACCTCTCCCTGGGTTCCCTAATCCACACAGGCAGTTGGATGTAAGGCAGCAGACAGTTTTGGCTCAGGCAGGTTGTAACACCTCTCCAGGGGTGCCGGGATGAAGCCCTCAGCCTCTGCACGGATCTGCTCCCCATGTGTGACACAGGACTAAATTCTGCCTGTTCCCCCAGCACACAGGAGGGATGAAGCTGTGGGGGGATGAAGCACCGTGGAGGTCAGGGAGGGCACTGTGGGTGCTCAGTGACCCGTCCGTGCGGAGCGTCCGGCGGGTGGGGCTGTGTGGGCAGAGCCCTCCTCACTCACCATCCCATCGAGGGCGTGATCTGTCCCACTCCTCCGGGGGGCAGGGGGTAGAAACCAGGGATGTCTGACGTCTGGGAAGGACGGTGCACTCCTGGAAGAAGGGAGAAGGAGATCAGATGGACCCAGCACCGCATCCCCCAGCTGACATGGATCACTCCCAGCCCAGTCCCCTGGCTGCTTCATCTATGGACACTTGTCCAGCAGGTCATATATATGTGAAATATCTGTCTGCAAGTGGCAGGATACTGCAATTCCCCTTTATTTGCTGTGGTTCTCTCCGTGGGGATGTGGTGGGTCACTCATGTTGCTGCAGAATCACCAACTCGGGTAAGGTGGTGGGGAATGCAGCTCGTTCTTGTACAAGCATCATCCCTGCTCCATGCCACCCTGAGGACAAGCAGTAACTTGCTTTGCCAAGGATTTAGTTGACTCCAGGCATCCCTCTGCCCTTCCCAGAGAGCCTCATGAGGTGCTCAATGGATGGTCCAAGCCGTTCCTATGCCCCGTCCCCATCAGTCACCCGTGGGACCCCCCGTGAGCAGGCAGTGGGGATGCTCCAGCAGGCACCACTTCTATCCCCATTTTAAACAATTCGAGTTCAAAACAATTGTTCCGTGGGCTCTGTGGGTGCCAAGGAACTGTGGAGGTGGGTATGGTGCCAGCTGGGAATTCACCCTTCGCACGGGGAATCCCTGTGGGATCTTCAAAGCCGCTGGCACGGGCAGCATGGCCAGGGGACACAGCCCAGCACGGCTCCCTTTCCACCTGGACTGGAAAACATCCTGCAGAGCCTGAGGCTGAGGGTGGGACTCAGACAACCAGGGAGCTGCTGGCAGGAACAGCCTCCAGCTGACCCCTGCACTGGGAGACTGGAGGGGCACTGGGGCTGAGCTCTGCTGCACAGGGGTGTAATGCTGGCTGCTACCCAGCCTCAGACAAAAACTGGGGACAGGGATTGTCCACTGGCTGTCCTGGGTGATGAATACATGGAATAAATTGGCGATGAGTCGCAAGCAGCTGCAAACTCAGAAGTCTGGATTATTTTTTTAGGTGTATTAATGATTAATTATTAATTAGGAATGACACCAACAGATTCCAAGCATCTTATTAGGAGGTAGCTAAAATAAATATATAACTGACCTGAAAGGAACATATAACTTAGTATGAGATTTGCTTCAAGTGGGACTCAGCAGCCCTCTGAGGGTCAAACAAAACCAGCACTCACGTCAGGCAGCTGCTGGAATATCCTGAGATTTGCACCTCCAACAGTGCAAGTTGCATAAGCCAGAGCACGAGTTATTCTTGCTGGCCCAGTGGTTGGGGCACCAACCACTGACTCAGAATTCCTGCTTGTATTTCCTTGTCTGCGTGTCCTTGGGCTACTGTGAATACTTTAAAGGCATGCTGGGAGAATGAGTATGATGGTGACTCTCAAGTGCTTACACTGGGTGATAATGGGAGCTACTTCAGTGATGGAAACAGAGATGGGACACATCCAGAAGGAACAGGGAAGAAAACCCTCACCCAGCAATACAGGGATGGGGCGTGATCCCAGCTGCACCATGGAGGCAGGTCCCAGCTGAGGATGATGGCCTGAACCTCTGCACAAATAGGACCTGGAGGTCTCTGGGAGGGACAGACTCTCTGTGTCTGTAAATGCACAGGATACACGGGAAAGGGGAGACTGGACAGTGCCTGCACTGAGGGCACACGTGGGTGGGCAGCCCAAGGACAGCTTCCCAGAATTACTGACCCCCCACAGAACGCTCAGGGACTGCCCCAGTGCCAACTGCAGCCTCCACAGAGGGACACAACCAGCTCATCCCTTGGGTGAGCTGCTCTTGTGCTGCTCAAGGTTTCCCAGGCCGGCAGTGAGTCCCAGGAGGCAGCTCACAGCGAGGGGCAGGGCTCTGCCAGGCACTGCCAAGGCAGAGTGAAGGAGGGTGTGTCGGGTCACCTCCCCTGCAGACTCAGAAATCTGCAGTCTTCCTCTCGAGACTCAAACTCTGCTGTTAGCTGAGCTTCAACAGGTTTATTTTGTTAACTCTTCCAATTTTTCTACTGAGTTTATTATGCTCTTGTGGCTGACAAGCAAAGTGTTGGCTGGATGACAACCAAGATGTGCCTGGGTATCTCTTACACCAGACCTAAATCCTACCCATTGCCATCCCTGGTGAGTCCAGAACGTGGCCTCTGGGTTCAGACCAGGGATCACTCAGCCAAGAGCATCCTTGACAGCCCATTGTTTTATCAACAGTGTTAACTTGGTGAAGCTGATGCCTCCAGGACAGTTTGGATCTCTCCTAGGTGGAGGTCTTTGCCCAAATCACAACAGTTGGTTTTGTGCCTCTGTTTTGGCACTGATTTCTGGGCTCTGATGGGCCCTGAACTCCTTCCTGAATACAAAACTGTGAATTTGCATGCTTTCCCACTAAATCAAGATCATGGTTGTGTAAAAGCCTGGATAATCTGAAGAGAAGTTCTGCACTAATGTAGGCTTGAGAAAAGTCTGATTTTACACTCACTTTGCCAGTAACCCATGAAGAATGATGGAACGATAAACTGGGGTGAATTCCTCTGCACATACCTGTCTTTCACAGTTCAGGGTATGTCTTACAGTTCAGGGTTTAACCTCTGCCTACTGTACTTTCCTCTGCAGCCTCAAGAGCCAGCTGACGTGGCCTGAGCTCACACAGGAACCCGAAGAGCCAAACCGTGTGACAACCACACAACGTGCGGCTACGGGGACACACATGTCACAATCCAGTCAGCTATCAGACACCGATCCTGTTTAGTCAAAATATTTCCTGTTTCAAGCATTTATTTTCTCAAAACGACAACCTGACAACAGTCTGGGTATGAGTCAAAGGAAAGATTACTTTCCATTTTCTGGTTGACTCTCGCGCATCACCGCGCAGCCTCTGCTCTGGTCTCAAGGTACAGGACAGCTTGTACAGAGAGCTGAACTCACCCCATCAGCAGGGCTGGCACTTTGGATACCAAACTGCCCTTGCCCAGGATTACAAGGCATTGCCAATAAGCGAAATAACCTCCTACTGCTAAGCAACACCCCAGCTCTTGACTTTTCTCACTGATTTGGGACCAGGAAGGTGACAGCCTTCACCTCAGTGGTCTCCAGCACTGTCCCCCTCCCACCACACAGGCCCCCAGCGCTGCCCCTACCTTGTTTCTGGTTGATGTCAGCGGGCAGGTGGGGCGAGTGGGAGCCGTGGCTGAAATGGTCGTTGCTGTACGGGATGAGCGGGGTGAGCGGGTGGACTCCGTGGGACGGCTGCACGACGGGAACTTTGTTGGACTGCAAGACACAAGGAGGGAGAGCACTCAGAAATCATCAGGATCCATCAGCAAAAAGGGCCAGTGAATCGAGTCCAGGCCCTTTGCAGTCCTGTGATCAGAGGTGAGGCTTGGAATGACTAAAAACACTAAACAAATCACTAAATCAACATTACAGCACCCTGCTAGAAAAATCCATAAATGAAGCAGGGACAACAGCTGGATATGATTACATGGATAGGTGGAAAACAGATAAAATCAGCATGAAGTTTTCAAAATTCAGAACTTTCTTTTAATTCATTTCCAGTACCTTTTATTCCAGGATGAATGCTACAAGCATGTTACCCAATGCAGTGCTCTTGTTCTCTGTTGTGCGCTACCACAGGGTCTAAATCTGGACTCTCACATCTTTCACATTCACTCAAAACCATGCTCGGGCTTTCCTAACCAGGGCTCTCATGCAGGCACAGACACAGAATCATTTAGGTTGGAAAAGTCCTTATAAAGACCAAGTCCAACCATTAACCAAGCTCTGCCAAGGTCACCACTAAACACTGAGGGCAACGCCTTTGAAAACACGACGTGGTCACCAGTGAGCCCTTGGGCTGAAATCCCCCTTGGAATGAGGTCCAGCACTCAGGGAGAAGGACCAGGAGGAGCTGAGGCAGCACTGAGGATGCACCAAGAAACCAAGCAAAGAAAAACCTGTCTCCTCTTGCAGCTGCCCCTGGTTAAACACGGTGAGGCCTTCGGAGCCCAACACCTTGTAAAAGGCTCTTTTTGGGGAACATAATGGGAAGTACTTCTGTGTGTTGGAGCAAAGAGAGGGGAACCTATTCCAAAGAGCTGCACAGCTGTAAGGACCAAACACACACACACACACACACACACACACACACACACACACACACTCTCACTCTCTGCCATCCACACCAGCCTCCTCGCCCCGAGCGTCTCGCACTGCTCCCTACATGTCTGGTTTCGCCCAGGGTTGCCTTTAAGCCCAAACTGACAGGGCAAAGCCTTGGTGGTGGAGTGTTAGGATTTGTCCCAGATAAATCCAGAAAGAGAAACAGGACAGATAGACAAAATGGGGAGAAAATGGCAACAGCAGGTCAGACAGCTCTGCGGGGGCTAAGAGCTGTGGGTATTGCCAGTCAGACCTCTGGTTCCACCAGGGACTGCAGATAATTTGCTGTGTGACTTTTGACAAGTCATTTAGGATCCCTGGACTCGATTCACTGGTGCCTTTCACTTTGGTAATGATTTTGCTCAGGCAGAATGAGCACAAAGCTCCAGTTGGCTTTGGTGAAGGTGGCACAGACGGACACAGGGCTCTGGTTGACTTGTCCTGGACCTCTCCCAGCTGCTCCAAGCTGCTTGCACAGCAGATTGGGAGTCCTGGCCAAGTCCTGTGTTTTGCATCCCTGCTCTGAGAAGGAAACCCGTGAAGCGGAAAGGAAAACAGGCCGATGGAGAAGCCACTTTACATCTGTCTTTCCCACAAAGGTTTGCTCATGCAAATAAAAACCAAGAGGCATGCAGGTTTGCATTTGAGAATGAATGAATACCCTAATTCCTGATGCTTAACAGGGGTAGATTTACTGTGTACAGTGGGATAGTGGGAATGTAACCCCCCTTCCCAGCACAGACTGGTGTGGTGCAGGCGTTCCTGTCCTGCAGCAGGGCCATGGGTTGTGTGGTTTTCCCACTGAGAGTGGTGCTGGACTGGCTCCTGCTTACTTAAATACATGTTTGGAGCTCTGAGCTTTTTCTATTCTTAGCCATGAAATGAGACAAAGAATAGCTTTTCAGTGATATTTCTAAAATTAGCTTTGGCTGAGCTTGTTTAAGAGCCACAAAGCCCAAATGAGGGATATGCTGTTTTACATGTACATTTGAACATGACACTGGAGCAGAACGAGCTCCGTGATGGGCTGTTTTGAAAACTAAACTTGAGCATTTCTGCTGTTCAAAGCAGGGCAGATCTTCCTTTCCATTTGCCTCGTGCCTGATCCAAAGCACAGCACCAGCCACCAGCCAGTCTTGCTGCCTGATGACTGAGAACAGCTCTCAGAGCAATGACAGAAGACACAGACCACTACAGCTGCAGAGGAACAGTCCTGATGCTGATCCACAGGATACCTCCACAGGGAAAAGCAGAGAGCAAAGCTGCTCACTGCAAAGGCATGGACTGTCCTGCTTTCCATCAAAGCAGAACATGGAAGTGTTCAAGGCCAGGTTGGACAGGGTCAGTGAAAGGTGTCCCCGCCCATGGCAGGGGAGGATGGAATGAAATGAGCTTTAAGGTCTCTTCCAACTCAAATAATTCTGTTATTCTATGGTAACCTGGTGTTACAAGAAGGTTGCACTCGGCTACTCAGATTTTCCATCGGTTCAGATGGCAAACAAGATGCTGCACCAGCAAGAGCTGCCATCCCCATGGCCCTTCTACATTTGCCCTTGCCTCACTCAAAAACTTTTCTGCTCTCTAAAGCCATGAAGATCTGGTGGGGAAGGTTGCTCAGGAAGGAAGCCAGAAAAATTTCTGCAAGAGGCTGTTTATCCCCCTGCCCCTTCCTCCATTAAGGAGTCTGTCACAGGAACGAGCCAACCAATGGAACAAGGAAATGCTGCACAAACATCTGGAGAAACAGAGGGAACTCCTTCAGTGCTGGTCCCCAGTTCAAACACCACAGCTGCTAATGGTTGAGGTCCATGGCCAGGACTGCAGCTCCTTTTCTTCCTACAGCTGTGCTGTGAAACCACACCTGGCTCATAGAAATCCATATGCCAGAGAAATGGGATCAATTCCTCTTTTTTGCAAGGTCTAGACTGCATTCCTGCAGATCAGCTGCAGCACCTGAACCTTGAAGAGGCTGTTCAAAGCCAGGACTTAGCAGCTGACAGTGTTTTACGCCATAAAAATAACCTGATGTAAATGTTTTCTTCCAAGTGGAGGTTTAACAAGAGGGCAGTGGTTTGGTGTCCTCCCAGCAGGTCCCCTGGGAGGACGTGGGGTGCTGCTGGTTGGGACTTCATGGGGATCTGCTGTGGCTTGGTGAAGCATCTTTTTTTGTCTCTTCCCCAAAGCTGGGTTTCAGTACAGCCCAGAGCTGCAGTGACAGAGCTGCTGACTGCCCACCCCCCAGAATAACACAGCTGGTGCCCAGGATCACAGGGCAACCCCAAGCTGTCACCTCTTGTCCTTCAGCAGCCATGGGGGGCCATGAAGGGGCTCCAAGGACAGCTTTGCCTCACCTCTCCAGCACAGCCCTTTGAGGGCAGGTCAGAGAATGAGCTGTGCAGCCACGCCCTCATATAGAAATGGAGAGACACCTTTACAACAACAGTAGAATGGTATTGGAGCAGCAGGATGGGGTTTGCAAGCCTGGAGGGCCTTTTTCCCTCTCAAATTTGCTAATCTGCAGCTCTGCTGAGTGCCCACCCCCTGGTAAGTGCTGCCTGCTTGGTGCCCGTGTGCTGGGCCAGGCACTGACGTGCAGCACATCCCCCTCCTGGGACCAACCACCCCCACCACCCTCCCTGAAACCAAAAACCCCAACGCTATTGTGAGGGAAGGAGATCCCACTTCGAAGCCAAGAAGTGACATTAATAACCAGAGGTAATTGGAGGAGCAGAGAGAAAACACAGTTGCATTAATTATTAAGGAAGACTAATTGTTGGCAAGAAAAAATTAGGAGACACCGCTCATGCCCGGGTGTCTGATTGCCATGGGAGCTCCAGGCTAGCTAGAAAAATCTCTTTGTGCTGAGCACACGCAAACCCAGCAGGTATTTCACACGAGGATCACCCTCACCATCAGAACTCCAGTGTTTTTTGACTCCAAGGTGCCTGACCAGGCTCAGCATCCTTCGCCTTTACTCCCATCCCACACCACACGTGCTCTGGCTGTGGGCAGCACTGGGGTTATATAAGCTGCTGGTTGATCAGAACTATAAATGAGGGGGTTTTGGTCAAAATGTGGGTTTTTCAATAGAAAATCATGTGAGATTATAATCAAACATTTTCTGGAAAGCACCTCGTGTTAGCAAGCATTTTGATTCATTTTTTAAAGACTGATGTATTTAGTCATGACATGCTAAAAATGAGTAGCTTTGCTTTGCTGGCTTGATGGAGAAATTTTCTTTTAAAGATTTTTCTTTCAAACTTTAAAGCCAGTCTTAACAAAATGTATCACAGAAGGTCAAAAGTCAAAATTTGAGTGAAATGATCAAACAAAAAAATTTCCATGGCCAGCAAAATTCTTCAGTTTTTAACTCTGTGAAAATATTAGAAAAAAAATTGAAGATTTTTTTTTTTTTCTGCTTGGATCACTTTAGGAAAAGAAACAAATGGAAAAAAAGAAGAGAATATTTTGAAACCTGTGAAAAGTATTCCTTGCTACAACTGAACACAGCTATCAAAGGCAGAATTGGTCACACCAAACTTCCTGGGGATCTGCTAAGGAACCCAACAGCTGCTTTGGTGGATGGGAATGACTTTAATTAATTTTCTGATAGAAGACAATTCACAACTAAAATAAATCAGCTGAATTCTACTGCCCCTTCCAAGAACTGGTGCCCAGTTTGGTGAAAAACATTACATTTCATGCTGTTAGATTTTCTCTGGGGACAAGACTCCGAAGATGCTGTGCTCCCCATGGAGGATAACAGGGTGCTGCCTGTCTTGCATGAACCACAGCTCCCATAGCATCAGCCAACACCCTGGAGAGCCCAAAGCCCCGTGGTCAGCCCAAAATCAAGGAAAGCAGGGAGGAGGCTGCTGGGAAGCCCTGCACTGTGGGAGCCAGGGATGCACAGGAGTCTGGAGAGAGGAGGAAGCCCCAGGGCCCCTCTGGGCATCCCAGAGTCAGGTGCCCCCATCACCCTGGTCATGCTGGCCCTGGCAGCACCTCCAGCCTCGGGCAGGCTGGAGCACCCTGGGGGTGCAGGATCTGAGTCCCCAGCACGCAGGGTCAGGGTGCAGGGCCGGGGGAGTGCTGTGGTTCCCAGCCCGCCG